CCGGTACCAGAAATACCGACATCCAATAAGTTTGCATTGAGTGGAGCACTGAGATAATTAAGGATTCTAATTGGCTTATTCCTCCATTTTCAGTCTAATTGAGTTATAATGGTCGTACTGAAAGGGGAAAGATCTCCAGGCAATTTTATAAAGGCAATAAAAGCATAACCGTTACAAAGCAAATCAACAAGAAAAACTACTGCAACTTTGACTTACAAACCAAGCCATAAGAAGCCAAAAAATGACAAAGAGAAGTACACCAAAGCATAAAATTAAAGCAAGCTGAAGAATAAACGGTGAAACAAACCCACAAAATACCAAACCGAGAAACCACACCACCCACAAAATCACATAGCATCAGTAATCTTCAGCTTTTTCCTAGTCTTCCAAGCCATACGTTGAAGAATTTGCATCTTGATCTCCGCAACAACTTTGTCCCCTGTATGATTGAAGTTATCAAAGAACTTCCTGTTTCTTTCCCTCCATATATGGTAAACCATGGCCGATATACCAAGTTTTTGAACATTAGACCAAGATTTCCATCGTTGAGCTAAACCCCTGTTTAGAATATCCTCCCAATTGTTCAAACAGTTCGTTAACCCCACCTCCTTTTTAATGGCTTCCCAAATACTACTTGAGTAATTGCATTCAAAAAATAATTGATTATGCGTTTCAATCACTGATTTACAGAACACACATTTCAAATCCGGCGGTTCATGCTTCCACTGACTGATGCGATCTTGAGTTGGTAATTTATTCTGACAAGCCATCCACATGCAAAGAGCATGTTTAGGTATGTATGCTTTTTCCATACCAGCTTGTACCAATGCACAATCGGCCTCACTTCTTGAACAGTTTGCCATGCCCCCTTGACCTCAAAATTTCCCTAAGAAAGTTTAGCATCAAGCCATCTGACCGTATCCTCCATTTGGCTTGGGAGAAGGTATCATAATACTTTGCAGCTGAGGGTATTGTTGAATCCAATCCACCAGCCAAGTAGAGCCAAAACGTTGCATTACATCAGAAACCATTGAGTTATTACAAAAGCCATGACCATTTAAGAATCTATAAGACAGTAACTGAATAAGGGGCCCAAATTCACTCCACGTATCTTCCCAGGCATGCGTAGATAAACCATTTCCCACATTGTAGATAAAAAATCTCCTGCAGTGGGAACGTAAGTCTAATAGGCTCCAGAGAATCCACGACCATTCATTCCTCTTCTTGATAACCCAAAAGTTTCGGCCCCAAATACAATGAGACTGAATCCAAGAGACCCACATGGTATTTCTGCGAGTCAGAATATCCCAAATATGTTTGAAAAGTAAGCACCGATTCCAAATCGCTAGTCTTTTCATACCAAGACCCCCATTTTGAATAGGCAAACAAACCCTATCCCAAGCAACTCGACATTTCCCCAACTGACCCTCTGCTTTATTCCATAAAACGTTACAAAACAGCTGCTCTATTTCATGGATTGTGGTTGCCGGTACTAGAAATACCGACATCCAATAGGTTTGCATAGAATGAAGAACAGAAAGAATAAGTTGTCGTCTTCCTCCATAGGATAGGAATTTGTTCGTCCAATTCAAAAGTCGAGATTTAAGCTTTTGTACAAGGGGATTAAAATCACGTACCTTCAATCGAACTGGGGATAGAGGAACTCCCAGGTAACGAATAGGGAACACCCCCGGCCGAAAAGGTAAGCTATTACGAATAATAATTTGAACCTCCAACCCCACATTCCCGAAAAACACTTCACTTTTTTCCAAACTCGAAGACAAACCTGATCGTTCTTCAAATAATTGGAGAGCACGCTTGATAACCTCCACCGAGGTAGAATCCCCCCGAGAAAAAATAAACAAATCATCCGCAAAGCATAAATGGGTCAACTTTATCTCAGCACATCCTTGATGGTACGCAAAATTTGCCTCCTCCTTAATACATTTTGAAAGAAGCATCGAAAGACCTTCCATAACCACAGTAAACAAGTAAGGAGATAAAGGATCCCCTCGTCGAAGGCCCCGCTTACCAAGAAAGAAACCTTCCAGTTTTCCATTAACACATATGGAGAAAGAAGGCGAAGTGATTAGAGTCTTTATCCAGTTAATCATAACTGGATGAAAACCCATTCCCTTTAGCAACTCTAACAGAAATTGCCAGTCAACTGTATCATAGGCTTTCCGAATGTCAATCTTAAACGCACATTTTGGTTCCCCTTCAGATTTTTTGATATGAAACCTTCAAGAAAGATTTCAGTATGTATCGGACCATTCTTGTATGATCTCGTGTACTCCCTTGGACCCAACTTCTTAGTCTTGAATCCAACAACGAAGGGTATATAAAACCCAACGCCTTTGGAATGCAAAGAAAGCAGAATTGAAGATTAGAGGAAGAAACACAAATACTTCCAAGGAACCCAACACCTTGCTATCCGAACTCAACA